TTGGCCTTTCTTACAGGGGGTTGTTCTCAACATGTTTAGGAAATGCTGCTTGTTGGGTGCATTTTTTGGTGGGTCACTGGAATAGACTCTAAGCCAAGCCCACCCACCTTGCTGTGGCCTGAAGTGATTCCACACGCATCAGTGGCATGACTCCAGAGGCATCAGGGTTATTCAGAGGAGAATGTGTCCCAGCACTGATGAATGCTGGAAGCAATCAACACAACTAGCAATAGAGAGGCTCTCTTCTCCCTGTATCTTTCCATACATGTGCCTTCTTCAGGGTCTGTGAAATAAGCCATGTTACCCCTGAGCCTGTCTGTGGGACAGGATCTGTGCTGGTAGTTCTGGTGTCATTTCCCAGCTGTCTCCACACCTTGGGAGGCTGTCATTACAACCCTGATGTGGTAGCCTAAGTTGGCTGCAGTCCTGAAGAGCCAGGAAAGGCTTACGTCTAGGACAGAGCAATGATCTTGGGATCTAGGATCTGAGGCAGGTATCCCAAGGACACCGATGAGGAAGGCCTCTCTTTGAGGGATGCACTGCTGTTCATGCCATGCTGCTCTTCCTACCAACAGCTGGTTCAGGCATGACACCAATAAGATGGAAGCCCAGAGGTGGATGGGTTTGTGTAAAGAGGTGACTTTCCAGTGGCTTTAGTTCCCTTCTTTGACTTTCCTGAAACATCATTGGCTTAAACCAGCTGGCCCACCCTGCTCCTGATAGTGGTGTGAACATATAACTACAGTGCTGCCAAGAACCATTGCCTATGAAGCCCATGACTGATTCAAGTGCAAGAAAGATTAGGGCATTTCATAGTGCCCGGTGCATTCAACTGTGTAGTTCAGATGAGCTGGGAAAGGGTGGAGTTGACCTGTTGCACAGCTAAGAATCAGCTCTTGGATCTGGATGCAGGGTTGAATTTCACCAAACCTAGCTCTTTGGAGGGTCTAAAACAGTTAGTGAGGGAATCTAAACCAGGAATCAGCCAGGTTTTCTGGAGAGGGGCTGGAATGACCCAGGTCAGGTTGGAGGCAGACAGGTACTAGGAACTGCCACCCCTTCTTCCCACTGACTGGCTGTGGCATGGCACAGCTAAAGTCTCCTCTGTTGGAGCTTGTGCTGGCCAACTGCAGCATGGCATGGGCACAGCTCCCCCTCTGCCAGAGCCCACTGCAACATAGCACAGTGAGATCACCTCACTCCATGGGCCAGATCAGAAGGCTCTGTGGGCTGAATTCAGCCCATGGACCATAGGTTACCTGGCCCTGCACCAAAATCTTTACAGGGCCTTTTACTCATGTCCTGGCCCTGGAGGAGGGGTTCCTAGGACTGCTGCCAAGCCCAAAATTCCTGTCTGTTGAAGATGAACCAGAGCTCCCATGCATTAGGGTGAAGCTGCCACCTCCATGGTGCCACAGCTGCACAGCTCCCATCTCCCACCAGCCTGAGAACCAAGAGGCTGAGTGCACAGAGGGCAGAAAAAAACAAGGCACAGAGATACAGGGACTTGACCAAGCTGGCACAGGAAGCCTGTGACAGATCCAGGAACAAAACTCAGGAGTCCTGACTCCCAGAGCTCCTTGTTCTAACTACTAGAACACCATCCCTTTCTCAGAGAGAGAGAAGAGGAACCAGAAGTCCTGAATAACTTTTAGGAGCCAACCCTTCCCAGAACTCAGAATAGAGCCCCCTTCTCTAACCACTAGACTTCATTCCCTTGTAAGGTGAGGAATGGAGCTCAGGGGTCCAGACTCCATGCCCTGACCTACTATACACATTAGACATCCCTGCCTTCTTATGTTTTGCTTGTGGCACTGAGGAAGGACAGAGATCAGATGTGCCTGGATCCTGACCAGGGAGGCCAGTGAGCCTCAGATAACCCTCACTCCACTGACCACTTAAGCCAGTGAGCATGATTCCTGAAACACACACTTGGCCTGTGCCATTGCTCCAGGGATAGAGGCTGTGGCTATGCTGGAAGAGCCCCCATCTCATGGGCACAAGCTGAAGCAAGCCTGCGTGGGGTCATTGAACTTCCCTGCACTCAGAGAGGCTGTGGGGGACAAGGCAGAGGTTTGTGGGATCCCATTCTCCTGGCAGCTATAGCCAATCCTGCTATTCCCAGGGCCAGGGTGGTAATTTGTGAAGCACTGCAATGTTCTCTGCTTCTTGTTGCTTTGGAAACATCCCTCCTTGGTCCCAGTTCTGCCTGCTAATGACTAGGTGCTGGATTCCAGAGCACTGGCTCACCGCTGAGCCAGCAGAAGTGGGCTGGCCAGGGGGATGGTACAGGGAGCAAACAGGCATTCCCACCCTGCCCAGCCACTGCCTTACAGGGAGGGATGGAGGGAAAGGAAATGGGAGAGGGAGGGAGAAGGAGGCGGCCCTGTCTTGCTACACTGGAGGGGGAGCCAAGACCTGGATCTTCCCTTTGGTGCAATTGAGTATCTCCAACCCACAGCCTCAGCTCCAAAGCAAGTGGCAAAGCTGCTTCCCAAACTCTGCTAGATGTCCTATGGGGACCCAGCTGGTAGCACTGCCTCCCCTTAGTCCCCAGCTCACCTGGCTAATACCAAGTACCTGATGACCTGCTTTGGCTTACACTGGGACCTTAAGGGGGCATTCCCAAGAGGCCACAGTGACTCCCCTCAGGTGCCAGCTCCCTACCTTGGGAAATACCTGAGGGATGGGCAGCAGGGTATCAGCTCCCTGTCCTGGACCATATTCCCTTGCTCAGCCCTGCCCTTGGGTAACAGCTCCCTGCCATAGGCTGTATCCCTCTGCTACCAGCTCCCTGCCCTGGCCCATATCCCAAAGCCCATTTCCATTCCAATAGGTGACTCTGCACAGCTCAAGTGCCATGCAGCAATGCAGGCTGGATAAGCACTTCAGCCACAGGCAAGCGCAGGATCTTGTTGGAGTCCTCTGTTCCCCAGCAATTCTCTTCTAGGTTAGTGTGTAGGCAGATTTTTTTTCCTGCAAGCTATAAACCAGTGGTGGATTCTACAATCCCCATGTCACTCTGCCCCTATACCAGGGGCAGGCAATTATTTTGGGCAGAGGGCTGCTTACCCAGTTTTGGCAGGCTGTCGAGGGCAGAATGGGTAGCCCCACCCCGTGACAGGTGCCCTGCCCATTGACAGGTGCTGCGCTCCCTGCTCACCATCTTGAGACCAATGTCCCAGGGCCAGCACCGGTGGGGCCCAAAATGGGGCACAGGCTGGCAGGGGTCTGTGGAGCCAGGCTGTGCTGCTCCAGCAGGGAGAGGAGGGAGCTGGACTGGCTCCATAGAGCCCCTGCTGGCTGGGACCCCGTGCTCCTGCCACCCTGCTCTGGGCCCTGCTGGTACTGGCCCTGGGACACGGATGCAGGCCCCGTGTTCCCGCTGGCTCCCCGCCCACTCACACCAAGTGCCCCCCAGCCCTGTGGTACAGGTGGGGGGCAGAGCACAGCCCCGACCCCCTGCTCGCCGGCAGGGAAGAAGCTGGTGCTGAGCACAAGGAAAAGTGGCCCCTCGCCCACCCCATGGCCGGCACTCCCTGCTGCAGGCGCTCGCAGCCCACGCAGGGCTGTCTTGTCAGCAGCAGCAGCAGCTGTTGCCACCCCACCTTGCTGCACTGGGCAGTGTTGGCTGCTGCTGCCTGCCCAGGGCTTGTGCGCTGGGCAGCCCACAGGCAGTGATGGCAAACACTGCCCAGCGTGGCAAGGTTGGGGGTGGGGGCTGCAGCTGCTCTTGCCATGCACAGCCCCAACGGGCAAGCCCGGAGCCAGTGTGGGGCCCAGGCTGGCAGGGGGCTGGGTTCCAGGGTGGTGCTGAGCATGGGGGTGGGGGGAAGGAAGGGGAAGGTGGCCCCTCACCAACCCTGTGCACGGTGCCCCACGCTGCAGCCACTCACAGCCCACCTGGGCCTGCTCTGGGCAGTTCTGCATAGCCTGCGAGCAGCTGCATTGTGGGGCACCAGCCACAGGGCAGGGGAGGGACCACTTTCCTCCACACCAGGAAGGATCCCAGGGAAAAGCAGCCCCTTCCCCACCCTGTGGCTGGCGCCCCATGCTGCAGCCCCATGCTGCAGCCACTCGCAGGCCATGGGGCTGTCTGGCACAGGCACAGGCAGCCCCAGGCAGGCTGTGAGTGGCTTCCGGCCACAGGGCAGGCAAGGGGCTGCTTTCCCCCCCACCCATGCTCAGCTTTTCCCCGGGCTCCTTCCCTGCTCTTTCCCCCCCACCTCACCTGCGTTCCCGTACTGCTGGGACAGCCACCTGCTCCCAGACCAGAAGCTCCTGCTGGGCCTTCCAGCTGGGGAGGGGCTGGGCCAGGCAGGCCCTGCTGTTGTGGGAGCCTGCCAGGCTTCCCCTGGGTCCTACTGCCCTTGGTTCCCATCATTTTTTACAGGAACCCAGGGCAGATAAATATTATTTTTTCTAAATTGTTTAGGGGCCCTGCAGGCCAGATAGAATGGCCTTGTGGGCCAGATCCAGCCCATGGGCTGTATTTCGCCCACTGGGGGGGGGGAGGAGGGGTTGAGGGGTGGAGCTGAAGCCATTTATACCTGTTGCTGTTAAAAGACCCCAGCCAGCGGCCTAACAAGCAGAGTTGATGCCCAGGATAAAACCTGGAGTGGACAGCAGGGGGCTGCAGGTTCCCAGAGCCAGGGACAGGGACAGCAGTGTTACCCATTCTGGAAACTCCTAAACAGGACCCAGATGAGCTGCTGCCACTGCCCTACCTGCTGTTCTTAAAGCAGCAGCAGCCACCACCACTGCCAAGGACTGCTTTAGAGTAACAGACATGAGAATGCTGCAGGGGTGCAGACTCTGAGGGGGTGGGAGGCAATTCCAGCACTCCTAACTTGGTGCCCAGTGTAGGTGTCCCTCTTGTGCACCACTTGTCCCAGGGCACAGTATGATCCAGCTGGTCTTCTAGTGTCCTTACCAAATGTGGTTCATCCCCAGTTCTTACATTCTGCTGACCTAACTTCCAACCCCTTCATTCTCAACCGACCATTGAATTGTTCCCTTCCTAAAAGGATGTCATGTTGTTCTGCATTATTAAATAGCTGCCCCATGCTTCAGAGTTGGCTGAATCTGGGGGGTGAAAAAATTATTTGGATTCCTCCCACATTAATATGACAGGGTCACTATTACTTTATTTCACAGCCTCATCTTGAGTTCAGAATCACACAGATCTTTAGAGGTCAATATGCTATCATGCTATGGAAGAGGTCTTCAAAATAAAAGCTTTATTAAAAAAAGCCCCAGAAAGTGAGTTATGGAGGTCTTGGCCAGAGTTCCCAGGCTACCCATAACAGTTGCTATTGCTTTAGCTCTTCATCTCTATAGGCTTCCTAATTCCATTCTTAAGTGCTGATATTTGGAAGTCTTTTCTTCTTCTTTCCCTGCCAGACTTTCATCCCAAGGATAAGCAAGATCAAGGATGGAGACTTTGTGGCCATGACCAGAGGCCCTCTGAATCAGTGGAACCGATTTCCTGGCTTCCTCCCAGCCATCCAGTCCTGGAGGATCTTCACTTCAGCACTGGTTTTCACTTGGTCAGATTTGTGCTCTCACTTCTCCCAACACCTGCAGAGATGGGATGGTCCCAAAAAGCACTCTCTGTAACAGGACCAAGCTCCAGGAGTGGTCATGATGACCCCTGGTGGCTATGTAGTTCCTGTCCTGCTCTGGTTCCCTGGGTACCTTCCCTTTCTTTCCCAACTGCCGCATCTCAATGCAACTAGTTGATGGGCAATAAAGGAGGCTGCCCTTGGGTCCCAGATCGAGCCTTCATCCATCTCTGGGCCAACAAGTCTCTCCCAGACCCTGCTGTTCCCAGTCTCAGGCCTCACTGTATTGAGATGGCCCATCTGTGTCCCCAGGGCACTAGTTGCCTTAACAGCTAGTTTTGAGGCATCCAACCTCCCCTACATCCATGCCCATCTCTCACAGGTGTTACTGTTCTGTCACTTTCCCTTGTTAGGGCCATGGCCTTTTCAGCCTCTGCCCCTCTACTCTCACTGGGGCTTTTGCCTCAGCCCACTGCATCAGACCTTAGCTTACTGTGTGCCAGCTCCTGTTTTGTCTCTCAGCTTTGGGTCCCTGGCCCTGGTTCTGCCTTTCTAGGGTTCTGGCCCTGCCCCTACCCTTCACAGCCACCAGGCCCTGGCCCTCACATTCTTGGGTCATGGCCTCAGTTGATCTAGGCTTCAGCCCTCACTGGCCACCACCCATCAGTGCCTTGAACCTGGCCCCCAGCTGGGCTCAAAACAGTCACATGCCCCTGGGGCACCAGCGGGACCTCTGTACCACCCCTAACTGTTCCACCCCAAACCACCAGTTAAAACTCAAACAAAAAGCATAAGCACTCAGACTAGAATACAGACTCTTAGCACATTGGCTGTAGAGCAAAACCCCTACTCATCCTAGGTCCCAACTCCCTGCAAGCCCTCAACTCCTTACTTACTGTTCCCAGGTGTTAGCTCAGTCACCACCAGCTTGCGGCAGAGCTCTTCCCACTGTTGCTTGAATAGGTGGACTAACTACCCTGACAAACTCTGGGCTTATGTGCTTCCCAAGCCCTGCCCCTTCAGGTCATTTGCTTCCCAGCCACCCACAGGTGTCTCTAATTGGGCTTGCTGGCTGGTCTCCAAGGCAGGCTATAGCTGTTAGCCTAGCAGCTGTAGTAGTACCCCTGCCACCCAAGTAGGGCTCTGCCCTATCACACTTTTGCAGAGCAGCTAGCTTCGCAATAGGGTTTCAAAGCTTATTGCCCTGGAGCCTATTCCCCTGAAGGCCAGCTCATCAAGGGCAGTGCTCCCTCCATCATGGTTGCTCTCTGCTGCTGTTCCTCTGAAAGTAATGGGGAGCCCCTGTGTCTCTGTTACAGGTACCAGTACCAGGGCATTGGCTAGCTATTTCTTTCTCAATGCATAACTTGAGGAGTCATCAAGCAATGATTGACACAATGTGCACTGTAGTCTCAGCATATGTGGTGCCTCTTCTACATTAGTATGTGGTTTTTAGGACAAGGTAATGGAGACTTTGGTTGGAGATTTTAACTGGGCGTTTCTCAGCCATCGAAAGGAATCTTCCTCAGCATTCAGAAGGAGTTTCACACCTTTTCATGCAGGATCCTTGCCTCTTATCTTCTTGAAATGCCCTTCATGTGCTGCTGGGGTTTCATTCTTGCCATTTCCTGCAGTTCTTTGTCTGCCCATTCCTCTTATGGTTGGTGTGGTATTTTGTTTGAGATATTTAGAAAGGGCCCAGTATTCCATAAATGCAAGATCTTTCATACACTTACTTAGGCCCCTTCCTCTCTTCCATCTAGGTACCTATAGTCTGTCTACTTTTGGACGCAGAGTTCTACATGTAAGCTGAATTGTTTTCTAGGCAATCTGTTGGTCTTAGCTCTTTCAACACACAATTTACAGTAGCAGCAACATAAGACATGACAAGATGGCATAGGTGTTAATTCTCAGACAGCTGTTTCTGATGAACTTTGATTTTAGGAGCTGACAGAGCCTCTTCTTACATTTTACTGTAGATTTCTTTTCATGTCAGTATTGCTGATGGCACCATGTTCTAAAATGCCAAGGTAGTTTTCTTCAAGAGATGAGTCAATAACTTCCTCTGGTGTTAAACTCAATCCATCCCTACACATAATTTTGCTTCCTTCTAGTCTATTCACACTACCCTGAGGTTCTTTTATTGGATTTGGCAGTCTTCATAACCAGCTTGTCAATCAAAGGAGAGCATTTGTGTCTCTCATATTTCATGCACATTGTTTCCCTTCAAACATGATATATCCAGTCCTAAAGAGGTGGTCAAACTTTTGATCCCCTATGGTTGACTTTAACAGGCCCTGGGTTCTAGCCTGGAACCTTGCTCCCCCTGGGGAAGGAACTTCCACACTGTACCGCTCTCCATCCATTTTATGCAATGATTAGTGTAGGGAGGAGTCTGGATAAAGGCTTACCTGTGTTGTGGTGATGGTTAGAGTGCTGTGCTGGGAAGTTGGACAGATGCAGGTTGAACCTTTCAATTCAGGGTAAGGTGATACTTGGACCCAGGTCCCTGATTTTCTGGACAGGTACCCTAACCATTTTGCTATTGAGACTAAAACATGGAAGGATGCTTACCTCCCCTAGTGTCATTTATGTCTGGGATTATTTCCCAGGTACATATACACATAGTTGCATATGTGCCTGACTAATACATGTCTGACTGAACATGCTTAGTCTACATGTGCAGATGTGTGTGTCCAAAACATAAAGTGGGGACAAAAATGTCATTTAGATACACAAAGAGAAATAGAATTCCACCCAAAATGTATTAATTTAATGTCAATTATTCATTGGTATACTGGGATCTGAGGATGCAAGACCACAACAGGACTTCATAAGCTGAAAATTCTGTTATAACAACATGGGTCCTTCAGAAAGCAGTGTTGACAGGTACTTCTAAAATACTGAGTAAAGTAAGAACATTCTCAGCTTGCTGACACCTTTGGCTAAGCTAGACCCCCATTAGTGATTGAATTCCCCCTGAGAGCCTGGGTGTTGGAAGGAGAAATAACAGCAGTAATGCTGGTCATTCTTGTTCAAGAAAGATGAATGCACACTGGAACATGTGCAGAGAAAGGCTGTGAGGATGATTTGGGGAATGGAGTCTCTCTCATATGGCATGTGACTAGTAAGTTTGGCTTGTTCAGCCTAGAAGAACAAAGTCTGAATGGGGATATATTCCTCTCTGCAAGTATATCAAGGAAAAACCCCAGACAGAAAGAAAAGCTACTTTGGGTGCTGACTTGGTGGGGGAGTGTGGAAAAAAACAGAAGTCCCCGCTGACCCTGTGTGTGGCATCTGCCTCAGGTGCCAGACCACATTGCTACGCTTCTGCAGCTTGGGAAAACTTACAGCTCCCTGGATCGTCTCAGAGTTCAGAGCTGACAGGCTCCATGGGGAGCCCTGTGTCCTACTTCCATATTGTCTGCAGCTGGGGGGCATAACCCCAAATGGGAGGGGGAGAGAGAGCCACCCCCTTGCTCAAGCCCTGGCCTACAGAATTGGGCTCCTCGTGTCCTTGGGGCAGATTAACTGCTGCTTAGAGGAAAGATTTAAAGTGACTTGCTGGGGCTGAGCTGGACTCCAGCATATTTCTTGCTGTCACCTCCTGTCAGTGGGATTTATTTAATTAATAACTAATGTGCATCATAAATTGCCACATCATCCCACGTGGCAAACAGCTGCCCCTACTTGATGTGGCCCCAATTGTTTTCAGAGCCTCCACGGTACCAGCTCAGGCTCATTAATTTTGTATGAGATAATTCTTTGAGCATGATTTAAACATGACATTGCTGTTAGCACATAGCCCTATGCACAGGGAGCTCACAGGCCAGAGAATGTGCTGGCTTCCACAGGGTTACTCTGGACTTGTACCAGCACTGACAACAGCAGGATTTGGCTCACTAGAGCTATTACAGATTTACAACAGTGAGGTGGTCAATGGGGTCCTGAGAAGGCAAGATGGTGCAAATGCCTGATTCTGTACTCCAGCACACTGGCATAACTGGAGCCACAGCCCTAGTGCCACCCACCATCATATGTAAGTTACTCTAGGGCTTATGCCCTTACTGCAATAACCAAGACGAGCCTTGCACTTACCTTTACTCTGCTTATCTCTCAGGGGATAGCTGTGGAGGCAAGATGCCCACTCTACTCTGGATTGAAAAGACCTGCCCAAGTTAGCATCACAAGGTCCAGTTTGCTCAGGTGCTGAGGGAGTGGGGTGGCTGCAGGTCTGGCTTTGTGCCATCAGCTGAGCCACACGCAGTAAGAAAGCATAGGATGGCTGCAGGGCCAGGACTGAGAAGCACTGACAGAGCTTTGTGTGGGTGAGAAGGCAGGCATGTAGCTAAGGTATACTGGCAGAGCTGTAAGGAAAAGGAAAGCAGTGCTATAGGTCATATCCATGTACACAGGCACAGCTGTGAGAAAGTTTTCAGCTCTCCTTCCCATACACTACCAAATTCTAGCCAGCACTATTAGTTCCTCCATTCCATACATACTAAAAGTTTCTGAAGAAAACAAGCCAAAAAAAGTCCCTTATCCTTAACAGAGGGAGAGTAGCTGGTGGAGATCCTTTAAATACCATACTGCTCTACAGGGACCTCAGATCTGTATATGCAAATGAAAAAAAAAAGACTGACAGCTGTTCCTCATAAGAGCAGCAAAAGAAATGTGAAGTGCATGACAAAACCTAGCCTTATTTTCCCTTGCACCAGGAGAGATGCACAGAAGAAAGGGGATAGAGATAAAAGACATGTTTGGGATGCGTTCTCAAGACTTCAGCTATTAATAGCCTGCAATTTTTAAAGCTCTGACCCTTGGACCAATTCAGTGCATTTGGAGCAAAAGGGATGTAAAACACAATTGAATCATTATGGCAGCATGGTACACCCACATTGCACTGGCTTTGAGCTAAGTGACTTGACAGGATGTAGAGCAATAGTGACTCTGCTCCCATCTTATCAATATTATTTGTCTTGCAAGTTGTTCAGAAATGAACCCAGGTGGCCATCAGGGTCCACTGGAATCTAAATTGAGACCACTGCACTGTGTCATCTAGACTGTCTGGGGGTGGAGCCTCCAGAGAGGAATCATCTGACCAGACAGTTCTCCAGCTTCATTCAAGTGGTCTGCATGTTTGCATTGATAAGGAGCACTGCATTGTGGTACAGGAAGTCTTCAGGTGCAACTTCATTGCCTAAAGGCCTGGATTATAGTGAGAATGGGAGTCCCAAGCAGCCAACCTCCAGCTCCCAAGAGGCACTGTGCTGACATTCCACATGGAAATGAGGCCTGTGCGAGCCGGCAGCGATCTGATCCGGCTTTGGATCTGGCCGCTTCGGATGCTAGGGATCCGATCCAGAGCTCTGGACTGGGTTTCTGCTTCGATCTGGCTGAAGCGGCTCTGAAGCTTCGGAGCCGCCTCAGAGATCGGGCCATAGGGTATAATGGGGAATCAATTAAATATCTGTAACTTTGTTGTTTTTTGACTGATTTGGATGAAAGTTGCAGGGGTAGTAGCCCCTACTGTGAGCATGAAGCCTGCCAAATTTCAAGAAGATCAGTGGAGGGGTTTGGGGGAACTGCACCTCAAGCTGCAGGCAAACAAAACTCATGACTTGGGTGACCCTGTGTGTGTTAAGGTGCAGCAGGGTGAAAGCTGCAGGGATGGTGGCTGCTGCTAAGGCCACGAAGCCTGCCAGCTGTCGAGGAGATCAGTGCAGGGTGGTTCTGGGGCCCTGCACCCCTAGCTGCTGACAGACAAAACTCTTGACATGTGTGCTTGTGCAACTGTCTGTGTCTCTTTTGGGGCAGTTGATTGTCTGTATTGATTATTTCCTCTCCTCAGTCTCTGCTTTTGTAGGTGTTAATTGATGGTAATTAACTGGCTACATTAGCTAGGTACTGTGTATTGAGCTGGTCCCTGACTGAATCATAATTGATTGGTAACTGGTAACACAGTA